TTAATGGCCTCAGTAATCGGAGAGGAGGCCGGGCAGCTGAGGGCGGAGGGGCGGTGAGATGCAGAGTGATGTGATGACATCACTCTATTGTCCCACAGGAAAATAATTTTATTTATTTATTTATTTATTTATTTATGTATATACACACACCGAGAGAGAGAGAGAGAGAGATTTAGTTTAATGAAGCAAAGTATTTGACTCTGTTCTTGTGAATAGGAAGCAAATTAGAACCATTTATTATTCTTGGAGAAGGCATGTTTTCAGACTTTATTTTGTGTGTGTGGGGGGGACTCTTTTTGGTAGTCAGTGACTCAGCAACAGTTGAGTAGTTTTAGATAGATTCTTAAAAAAGCATTTAAGACCCCACTGCTGCAAAAATGTTCACATATGCCAAGTTTGCTCATGTGAGCAGTCCCTTCGTTATTCAGAAGGACCACTCAAATGTGAAAAGCTAAGCATATTCTTAAAAATTACAAACAATTTTACAAACAATTCTGTTTAACTTAAAATTGAGTAATATATCTGGTCTGTTAGTTTGGTTGAAGGTAATGCAGCAACTCAGGAGAACTAAAATGAAAACTTGAAATCCAATGTATACATGTTTACTGTTAGTTTTCCTTGCGAGCAGTTATATTAGAAAGTTTCTGCATTTACTTCATATTAAGTCAAGAAAATCATCCACATATGAATTGTAAGTCAAAGAAATTATAAAAATCGCTTAAGTAGGAATTCCTGTTTAAAACAAAAAAAAATCGATTTTCCATTTTTTTTTTTCCTAGGTATGGGATGGCAACATGTAGTCGACTATATGATTAACCAATAAGCCTAGTCTTATTGGTTAATCTTGTCAACTATACCAGTGTTTCTCAGCCAGTAGTACAAGTACCCTTAGGCGTACTCGAAAAGTCAGGGGGGCATGTCAACACAACTGAAATTTGGAGAAAATTGAATTTTTGTTTTAAGTTTTACAGCATTTTATTATTTTTGTACTTTTTACACCCAAAAATTTCATCACCCGCCTGGCTACGATTAAGTTGTTTAAACAAATGTGTTGCAATGGTAGAAAAAAAAATTGTGTCTGAAAACTGTAGGTACTGGGGGTAGTTATAATTTTTTTAAAAGGGGTACTTTATTTAAAAAAAAAAAAAAAGTTGAGAAGTGCTGAGCTATACCATTCCCCTCTTTTGCTGCCTCTGTATCAAAGGCATCAAGTGGCGGGAGCCAGTGCCCATGAGGAGCTAACTTAAAAGCCAGCTCCGCATGAGCACTGGATCTACTTGCCGGATCTGATAGAGGGGCAGCATTGTGGAAGGTGAGGGAGGTAGACTGGAGCAATTATGCATGAGACCTAGCTTTCAAGCCAGCTCCCAACATATCTCATCTCTGCAGACCCACCTGGCCCCCACCTTGTTGCCTACTACAGAGGCAGGGGGTGGGGGCAGGCAGGTGTCAGTGCTGGGGGGAGCCAGCTTAAAAGCCGGTTCCACCTGACAACTCCCCCACTGCCTCCTCCTGAGGGAGGTAGACTGGAGCAATTATGCATGAGACCTAGCTTTCAAGCCAGCTCCCAACATATCTCATCTCTGCAGACCCACCTGGCCCCCACCTTGTTGCCTACTACAGAGGCAGGGGGTGGGGGCAGGCAGGTGTCAGTGCTGGGGGGAGCCAGCTTAAAAGCCGGTTCCACCTGACAACTCCCCCACTGCCTCCTCCGATCTCTGTCCGAGCCCACTGCGGCAAGACGCGGGTTTCTGTG